ATTTTGTAAGATTAAAATAAATTGTCGTTAAAAGTGATTGTAATACTGAGGATCCTTCGATATTTCGTTGTATCGGTTTATTTTGTTATATGACCCCCTATAGAAAGTACATAATGTATTGAGTATAGCACTTTTTATTAACGATGTACGGCACACAAAAAAACAAAAGTTGGGAAACTGCGGTTTCAACAGGATGGTGGACCCGCGCACAACCGACTAATAGTACGAGAATAGGTATACCTATCAGACATATTTTCTATTTTTTCTAGGAAATTTGCCCGATAGGTATTCACGCACAATTATGGTCTTGTCCCTTGCTAATGTAAACGTATATAGCTCTCTATGAAACAATTTCGGGAGCCTTGGGACAATCTTGTTTTAACACATCAAGATATGCATAGAATTGTACTAGAACATATTCTTTCGGTTTTGTATAATATTGATAACGGAGTTTTTGCTTTTCCACTGGCACAAACCCCAAAAGTGTGATATGGATATTAAATTTTGAATGTATTCTTAGTTATCTATGACGGCGTTTAATACCGGACATCCTGACAATGCGGTAGACTTTAGAATACTAATTATCTCGCACAGCACGAACGATCGTTATACGATTATTAAACTTGACACTTCGTAAGTAGGTATACATAGGTCCCTAGCTACCTAAGCATCATTGTAGTATTAACACTTAAGTGTCTTTGATCTCTTTTAATTTTACCAAAAAAATAGTTTGCAAAATTTTAGAATAAAATCGCTTCATCTTACTGAAAATACTTACCAGCATTGCAAGAGTAGAACCTGTAGTCCCTTGAAAATTATGTGGATCTAAGAATATTTTAACTGCCAATTCATATCATTAAAATTCGCGCGCGAAATTCAAACAGTCGCATGCGTAATCTTAAAAAATCATTCTGTTTCATATATCTAGCAATAATTAAACAAAGCAAATACAAAGAATTGTGGGAACCTCGGTAAGTACGTGTAGGTGAAACAACAAAGCCGTTTCAGACTGATGTTTTTAATTATATACCCAGAAATAATTATGCCGCTCGCAAATGGTTTATAAAATCGAGTAAATGAGGGGCAAGATTCGCATAAAAATGCGCGAAACTTAAAACAATGCTTGACCAAAGCTTCTTTTCATTAAAACGATCACGTTTGTATGTTTATTAAATTAACGTATTATAGTATTTTTAAATAAAGCTAAGGTTCAAGGATATTTTGTTTAACAATTTGATGGACCAACGAGAATTGAGAGTTCAGCCTTCCAATAAAGTTATTACGGTAGAGGCGGGCCGTATTGAACCAATCCAGAATCTCGTTCTCTTTCCGGTCATCTATTCATGAGATTCCCCTGCCAACGCGGACCACTTTTGTTGAATTCTGGCCAACGTCATGCCTTACGATTACATCGTATTCATTGTGGATGTGGTTTATTATTACACAATTTATAAAATGGGGACTGTACAAGACGAATGTAGTTCGCGTTGAAACGATTTGTAACCTGTTTATTTTAT